TCAGGTTTTGATTTTAATTTGCTCAAGTTTTTGGGAGATTTCCAAACACTTGAGATTGTTGCTAACATGCCAATATTAAGCGGCGGGTGAATCATCACATTCAAAATGATATTCTACATCAATGTTTGTTGAAACAGGTATTCCCTGTTTACTCTGGTGTCAGGACATTTGCACTAGGACCCGATTGCTTCAGGGAAAAAATGTTAACAAAGCTACCATACGTGAGCGACTCCTTTGACCGGCAACGGGAGCAAAAGTGGAGTTGATCAGCAAGCAATTGATTTCCACCTTACCAACTGGGGAGATAGAGGAGAATGAATGGCTCCATTTGGGGGGTGAACTGGCAGCCTTAGCATGGTTTTAAAGCTTGAGAATCTGAATCCACAGAGCAGGTGACTAACCACATATATGTATTACTGTTTTAGGTGGGCTCTGAAAGATAATTTTTACACAGGTATTCAGAGAAGAACCCCATGGGTTTAATTGGGCTCAATCCCCAGTTTTTGGCTGAACAGCCCCTAGAGCAAACTTAACGTGGCCTTTGTTTCTCTTTAACTTCCGCAGTGAGTTGATTCATTTCTCATACTTCTATGGGGGAAAATTTGAGACCAAGACAATACTGCAAGCCGAGCCTTTCAGAGAATTCATACTCGCTTTAAATAGTTAATAGCTCCGCATGGTCTCCGGTGGTGTTCCTGGATGTAGATGGGGGGGGAGAGAGAGGACGGGAGACGCTTCTGTGTCTTCCTTTCTCTTTTTTTCCAGTAGGGCAAGGCCATACTAATTTTGCAGCTCATGGTCTGAAGGCTGGCTCCAAAGAAGCGGCTAGGGGGTGGGCTCTCGCCTCTGATGGTTATTGCAGTGAGTTTTGTCAGGTCAGGCTGGTGCACCGCCCGGCGGTCTCCGCTCGCTCTCCCGGGTTATTTATTACCTCTCTTCCCCCGCCCGCAAGCGCTGCGGGGCCCGGGGCCGCTGCCAACAACGGCGCAGAGGCGGGGGCCGCTTTAGGGGGGTTCCCGACGGACGGCGGGCAGCAGAGGAATGGACGTGAAATGCATTTTGTGGATGGACAGAATTTCAGTGCTATTATATGGCGGAAGTTACAGTCCTTGACGTTTTCAGTAAAACATCCTTTATGGTTTGCAGACTGAGGAGAAGCCTCAGGAGTGAACTGGTGTCCAGTTTTTGTTTTTGTTTTAAAACTGTTGAAGCATTGTATGGCTAGAAGTATAGTAGCACATAATCTTACACTGTCACCATTAATGTTGAGAAAATTATTCAACTAATTGATTATATAAGCCTGCAGGAAAAATTATCTGTCAACAGATTTTTTCACTCTTGATTAATAATTTAAGTCATTTATCAATGAAAATACCAAACAATTAATTCAGAAGTGACATAAACTGGCAAGAAAGAAAGAACAGTGGAGTTTAAATGTCTGCAGATACAAAGGAAACTCCTCAACGTATTGTGATATTGGTGACAGTGCGACACATCTATATCACATAGCATTAGTTTAACATAGAATATTAATAACACATTGGTTGGCTATGATGTAACTCAATATTGTTTATCTGAGCTTCCTAAAAAGAAAAATTGTGTCTTAAAAATGTTTCCTCAGTTTAAATTGTTGATGAGTTTGATATCAGGCGCTGAGAGTCAATGAGTGGGGGTTTTGTATTGTAGACTCACCAGATTAATCACACTTGAACCAGCATTTAGTAATAGAGAGAGAGAAACTGTAAGATGAGTGTCTCCCTCAAGAGCAGCTAATGTTTTCGCATTTTGGGTAAAGGGGTCGCATTTTCCTTTTAGGTTTAACAGTTTTTCTGTGAAATCTAAAACCACACCTGTGAGTCATCATTGTACTGTATTAAATATGACAAAACTTGCTATATTATCTGCTCTGATTTGGCCTAAAATGTAACTTAAGTCTTGGACTAAAATTAAAAACCCTTTCAGTTGTCTCATGAGAGAGTGCTGTAAGCAGAGATAAGAGGCCATTGACTAAGCAAGGTACCCTTTTACTGTAATATAGTTATTTACTGATATTGGGATTTCCTAATTCATTGTAAATTCATGGGGTGTAAGAACAGGTGTGGGTTTTTCTGTGGTTATTTTTTCTTTTTAGATACACAGGACTCTGCCACACTGTAATGAAACAAGAAGTAAAGGTTAAATGAGGTAGAAAGGTTAAACAAGGTTTCCCCTTCACATCAAGCATTTTTATGATAGAGACACAAAGGCAGATGGAAAAATCGACTCAGTTAACGCTGAACCGATGATTTTGAGGATGTGAAAGTTGATGTGTCGTCACTGTACAAGTTTGGGGAACCCCTCCATGATGAACCATTAAGAATGAGTCACGATCAGGGATCGGACGTGGGCGTAAGAGTGGCCATGGGTGTCCCCTTTATGACTGGTTTCACCAGGGCTCTCCCGATGGTGCAACATTCAGCACCAACGCAAGCATCAGCAAGGTTTCCATTGAAACATTTCGATGTGGTGAAGGCTGGTTTGATAAAGAGAATCAAACAGCTTCTCATATGAAATGTTGTGTTCCACTTCCCTGAAATGGCTTTCTAAACATACAGCATAAATGTCAGCAGCCCATGATTTATGTCAGTGCTACCGCTTGGTGTACTCACCAACATGTGGGAAGTGACATTATTGTTTAGTTGAAAAATGTGCCTTTCGATTTCATTTTTCAGACTGTGTTTACTTTAAAGGTAACTATTGGACAAGTTATTTCAGGTCACCCCCTTTTTTCTGTAGTTGTGTGTATGAACTCTGCTTTGGTCTCTTACTGATCCACAAACCCACTAATTCCATTACATTTCCTTCAGACATCACAGCTCCAAATCTACGGTCCGTCACCGTCTTTGGTGAGGTATCTGGGTTTTTGTAAATGTCTGCTGTGTGTTTGCCTGCCTGGTCCTGGCTGTAGGCATTATACCAGTTCTGGCCAAACTGTGGTCTCTGGCCTTCCCGTGCACTGCTTCCGCCTGCGGTGTGGCGTGCCTCCTTCCTGTGTGTGTCAGAGGCAGTTTGGCCTGATTTATAGGCCCCTGACACACAGCGCTTTGGACCCCACCTCTGCTGCTGGAATGGCTATCCCATGTGTTGGTGGTGGATCCACCTGGGTGGTTCTCCACTGATGGGGGTCAGATGTGGCCCTGCTCACGAGCTCCAGGAGCTCGGGGGAACATGCCCTGTAGACAGCGTGGAGAGAAAGAGCTCTCAGAAAACTGGCTTCCAGGCTGAGGAAGTTTTTACTTCAGTTAAAGCAGCAAGCTCACAGCAAAGATTGCACATATCTCGATGATCTGTTCTTTTGAACTGAGCTCCACCTGCTTGCAACCCAACATTAAAAAGAACATCGATAAGGCTTAGATTTTGGTTAAGTTTTAACTTTACATGTTGATAAAGGTTAAGCTAAAATGTTGGTCCGAGGTCACAAATCACAAAGTTTCAAAGTTAAAAATATTTTGTTTTTGTAATACAACATCACACACACACACACATTCATATATATATATATATATATATAACAGCTTTTAAGTTTAAGTACGGCTTTAAGTAAGTTATTTCAAGGAGGGGGTTTAACACTGACAGCTTTGTACACGCTGTTGAACAGTTTTAGCGCTGGCTCACTGAAGCGGCCACAGCAGGTGAGTGTAAGTCTGAGGGCGAGATGGTGTCACAGTAGGTTGAGTATAACAAATAGATGGCTGAATTTAGACACACAAGGAGAACATAAAAACCGGCCAGTGAGTTGACTGTCATGGGTTGATGTGGCGGCCTATGACGTCTGTTATCATCTCTCTGTGTCTGATGAAAGTCTGCTGCTCGTGTTTGGCTTTAAAATGATTATATATGACGGAGTTATTAATTTAAGTGGAATTTCAAAGATGTAGAAACTATTGGTCTAAAATGGCCTGATTTAGGTCTGGTATTATTGGGCCCTAAAATGATCATAAATCATATCATTTTGGAGGAAACTGTTAATATAAATGAAGGCAGTGTTGTTGGTTGTCGTGAATATGAAGGCACAGCTGTTAAGATTAGAAGTCAGATTCAGTGGCTTGCTCAAGCTCACTAATGACGGTTCCTCCATTTTACGCACTGAAGCGCCGTCCCTCGCAGTCCCCCCTCCTCTCGGCTCTCGCTGAGCCTCCGCTGTTTAAATGGGCCAAGTTGAGAAGCGGCGGAGAGTGCAAATCTTGTTTGGTCTGGGTCTGTGAACTTCAGCGTGACTTCAACGACATACACAGGGGTTAAAAACAACTCTTTCCAAACTTTCAACTGTATTAATGTTGCGCAAATATTACTCAGGAATATCAAGCCCGATATGTTTGGCTTATGTTTCTGATTAATGCCATATGCCACATTGGTTTAAGGAACAGGAGAAATGTACTATTTCTTTTTTTATTGCCTTCACTGGCTGTGAAATTGTATATTGGCCAGATTAAAGCTCCCCGGTGCTGAATCGATGTGCCGTTGTTGTTTTTTATTTTTAAAGATTGCACGGCCGATTCTCGATTTTGACTCTACTCAGTGAATATTACAACAAAAACGAAAAAGAATCTCTTATTTCTAAGTTCCCCAAAGGCAAAGAAATAAGAGACACGACGTAGCTGCGAGTGGTAATGATCACCGTAGGTAGCATAATGTCCGGGGCTCAGGGCTAGCCAGCATGTCAGGTATTAACAGAGCGAGCGTGATTAAATGTGGGAGGTAGGAGCTGTGAGGCTGGCGGAGAGCGCTGCTGCCGCTGCGAGCTGGAAACTACTGAATGGGAATCTATCCGGCAACTTCACCAGACCGCTGTCTCACGGCGACACGGGGGCTCTGCGTAAAACCAAGCGGCGCGTCTCCAAGTCTGGGTCAGCCCCGCTCACAGACGGAGAGGACGCTCAAGTTGGATCGGACGAGCAGCTTTTCACTTGTTACCGGCGCTCGGCTCCCTCTAACATGCCTGCCATCAAAAAGGAGAGGCTGGATGGAGACGATATGGCATTGACTGCGTTCAACCAGTCCGAATACCTGGCCCCTTTAAATGCCACCGCGATCCCCGTGGTGACCCCGCATCCGCCGCCCTACGACCACATTTTCGCCCATCACCGCGCGTACTTGGGGCTCCACGACTCGGCGCTGCATCACCAGCACCTCCACCATCACACGGACGACTTAATGCTGGAGAGGTTCTCCTCCATCCCCGACTTTCAGCCCTTCTTCGACAACGGGGAGCCGTGCATCGAGGTGGAGTGCGGCGAAAACAAGGCTTTGCTTTATATCAATAAATTGTGTCAAGGCAGTAAGGGACCCTCAATTAAATACAGGGGCGAGTGGCTTACCCCCAATGAGTTCCAGTTTGTCAGTGGACGAGAGACTGCCAAAGATTGGAAACGGAGTATTAGACACAAAGGTAAGAACAACATATCGGTTTGTTGGTGGAGAGGGGGCACCTCCATCATCAATAAAACACTTTTAGACGCTGCTTATTTTCTGGGCACAAAACTTAGTCTGGCGGTTCGGTGCCGAGTTTTGGAGTGAAAGGGTTACAGCAGTCAGTGCGTAAGGAGACAGATGAGAAAAGGCGCATATCCTCCACATACCCGCCGAGGCTTTGACACAGAGTTTGGGCTGCGAGCACACACCACACCGGGGCACTTGAAGTAGGCTGCACCGGGACCGAGGTGAAAAGTTAAGACATAGATAATTCAATATGTGACAGGTCAGATATGTGTTTTTCCTCGTTAGGGGGGTGAATCGTTCTGTTGAGTGCAGCTGCACTTGTGCATGGCTGGTGGCACTTTTACGCATCGCGTGGCTGCTTTTAAAGCGATTCTTTTTTTTTTAATTAGCGTTTTGTTTCTCCATTCAACGTTACAGCCGGTGTGGATTTGTGCTAATTTCAACCAAATATGACTGAATAGAACATGTATAGCTGCTTTTATGTAAACGTATTTTATATGTTTTTGTTAGATTGTCAACATCCTTGACAGCATCAATCTGGGGTACTGTTCCGGTATATTTTATGTTGAGATTTGTTGTAATTTTATGCAATAATTACGCATGGTGCGCTCACCCCATCACCACACACACACACACACACGCACACACATACAAGGTTACTCAGGCAGAACTGACACGCGTTAAGATGTGTGGGGGGAGGATGTCGCCCCCAGGTCAGAAATGGTAGCCTAATAGTTTAATATACCGATTCTTATAGACAGATGACAGTAGGCTGCTGTCTCTCTAGCTCATCACACTGGACTCTTGGTAGAATTAGACTTTGAGTGACTAAAAATATTGAGAGATGAGTCAAGTTTGACTGCAGAGGCTGACTCCTTCAGATATTTTTCCTGCGTTATTGGCTGATTTTTGGCGAGATTTGTCTTGAAAACTTTGAGTCCTGAGATGATGGGATGAAGAACAGGGCCCATTCTCAAGCAAGTTGATCATTCTTTATCACATGCAGTGTCATGGAGGAGTTCACTGGCTGGACAATGTGGTTGGTACTATTCACTAAATGTGTTTCTGTCTTTTATTTTTCCAGGGAAAAGTCTCAAGACTCTTATGTCCAAAGGAATCTTACAGGTGCACCCTCCAATCTGTGATTGTCCTGGTTGTCGAATTTCATCTCCAGTGGTAAGAATACTACTTCTTCTCATCTTCTGTCACACTGGTGTTACTGCTGCACCGTCTTTCCGTGTGGAGTCAATGTGTTAACTAGGAGAAGCTATGAGAATATGAAGGGTTAAAAGATGCTGGGTTGTTCACTGTGGTGGTCAGTAATTCTCAAAGAGCACAATGCACGCAGTTGGAAGACAGTGATATAATGGAAATATTTGTTTTAAGAGACTAGAGGAACTCTGTTTTTTGTTGTTATGATATCTTCTTTTGTAGTTAAGTTATACAGATGTTTTTGATGGTTTTTGCTCAGTTAAATGATTGTGCTTGCTTGGCTGTATCAAGTCAAGTCAATTTTATTTATAATGCCTTTATATAGCCCAAAAACACAATCTCTTCCCACGGTACTAATATTTTGTCTTTTTATTTATTTTTTCCTCATAGACCATATAGCCCATAATTTGGTTTAGTTTAGCTTGGACTAGGCATACTGATGTTTTATTGGGATATTTGTGTCACCCAGCTCTACATACACAAAACAGCAGGCAAGTGTGTATGAGTGTTTATTGGAGCATTGTCTTTCTTTGTAACCTTGATGGCGAACGACCCTACAGGCACACATGTCAACTTTGATGTTAATTTTTCTCAGCGTTAATATCAAATCCACTTTCACTGCTGCAAAATATGAAACAGCCTTTTATTCAGAAGCATTGAGCGGTTGAGTCTGTTCAGTTTGATGTTAGGTGTCGTTGGTCGGCTCTTCTGCCCCATTGAATCATTTTCCTCACCTGGCTGTTGAACTTTTGTTTGCCTTGTGCTTCCCTCCGGGCTCGGCCAGGGGCACGATGCCAAACCTTGAGGCCTTGCAGGTGTGTCACGATTACAGCATCACCACTGTGTGTGTGTGTTTGTCTGAGTCTGTGTGTGTGTGTGTGTGTGTGTGTGTCAGCTTTGAGCAAGCACACTGCCGGCTCACCGTCGCCAAATCTGTTCACACAGGTGCAGTGGGTTGTGTGTGTGTATGTGTGTGTGTGTGTGTTTTTATCACCACGGAGCGCATCTGTCGTCGCTCCCAAGCACTAATCTTGAGGGAAGGGTGTAAGAGGCTTAGCAAGCTACTGAGCGTGGCTACTGCTGATTATTGTGTGCGAGGCACGCAAGGCAAAGGCGGTTTAGATAAGCCGGAGGTGTTTGAGTGATACAGGTAAACTGGTGACATTTTTCACAGCCAAGAATGAAGACCTGTACCCCTAACACATAGGGTTCACCCAAAATGAATTACCTGAGGGCGGTAGGGGGCAGAGAAAACAGACAGTAGAAATGTTCATGTCTTATTTTTTTACAGAAGGATTTGAGAATCCGAGCGTGTTTGCTTATGTTTAGGCTTATTACAGATATCAGTGTGATTGGCCTTTGGCTTGCAAGGACTTGTACAGTTTCACTTCAATTACAACTGTGACGGAGTAAAACTTTATTGACGTAAGCAGGGATATGAGAGCCTTAAGGTTGTTGTTGTAGCCTACTCTCCCTCTCTGTCTCTCCCTTTCCTTCCTGGCGGTGAAGCCTGAAGTCTAACCCACCAAGTGAATACCACCGTGACACTTTCGCACACACACACTCACACAGACACACAATAAGTATGTTGGCAGTTCCATGCGAGGCGGTGAGGGTTAGGCGGAGGAGGGAAGGCAGCGGGACTTGTATGGCCTGTACTGGCGTCTCCCTCTCTCCCCACTGACTCCCCTCAGGGCATGGCAGCCAGCACTCCCTCACTGATGAGCTCTCTCTCTCTCTCTCTCTCACTTACAGACACACACACAGTGCACGCTATATGCCTGCCTACTGACACAAATTACCTCATGCAGTCATTTATTTTGAAAGTTTGACGGCTGAACTTTGAGTGATCTTGTTTCGCTATAGGCATGAGGCAAACGATCATAAAAAAAAGAAAAGTGCAGCAGCTGGTGGGAAGACTTTTCACCTGCCTGCTCAGAACTCGTGGAAGTTAATTTGCTGTGTCGGCCCGGGCACAAGCTGTTTATAACGACAGGACACAAACTGAACTGTTGTTACACTCAACAGTTTTGAATTTGAATGTGGTGATAATGTTGTTTATCCACACTCCAATATTCTGTTGATAACTAGCTGTAAAGGTGTGTTAGCTTTCTTTTAAACCTGTTACTGTGTGATGATCAGCTGATGAAATTATTTCTCTCTTCACAACCTTTAAGTTGTCAGATGCTGCTTATTTTAGTGTGTCTGGGACCGTGTTTCATTATTTTTCATGTATAGAATGTAATACTGAAGAAGTTTATTCTTTATGTTGGTGTTTTAGTCTATAGTTAGTTTGTATCTGTGTCTTTATGCGTGCGTGTCTGTGATTATTTGTACACCCGCTATGGCTGGCTCACTTGTCTGTTTGCTGTGTGTGTGTATATGTGTGTGTGTGTGTGCGTGCGTGTGTCTCCTCCTGGGAGAGCTGGGCTTCCTCTGCTCTGTTATTTCAGCGGAACTGGCGGAGGCCGGGAGGAAATTACACTCCCCTCCTCCGGCTCGTAAAGACCTCCTCCAATCAAGGGCTCCTCTTGCAAGTGGAATTAAACACACACACACACGCTCACACGCATCTATGCACAAACACAGACATACACACTTTTGCCTATAACTTACAGTCATTCTCATTATGTTTTCATAATGCCATTTCCAATAGGGTTAATGGGGAAAAGATAATTAAAATTAAAGTGTGCCATATTGAGTGAAATAATAGTAGTTGAGCTGTTATGTGATGTGGAGTCGACTTCATAGATCAACTACTGACTGTACACAGCTTCTGGTTTATGTTTTGTGTGTTTGTGCACGTGCTTGCATATGTGTTGCTGAGGCTACGTCGCTATGGTAACACCAGAATCGGTCATTGGCCCAGAAGTGTGCAGCAACTGTGGTTGTGTTGAGAGAATTTGTGCACTTCTGTGTGTGTGTCTCTCTCTCTCCGTGTATTGGACAAATTAGAGATCAAGTGAGACTCTAATGATCTGTTCATTCACCACGGGTCTTAATCTCGTGTACAGAGATCAATATGAATTGGAATGTGTGTCACAAATATAGAAATACAGTAACATTCATATAAACATCTCCAAAAACGCTTCTGTGCCTCTTGTGTCAAATTAGCATTTAGCTTCTACTTCGGCAAGATGGCAGAGACTACTAGAGAGCTTGATCGTATGTGGTTGCATGTATGTAAGTAAGTACATGCTGTAAGCTTGTGTTGTGCGTATTTGCTCACTATATGACTGGATGTATGTGTATTTGGGTGTGGACCCTGTTAACAGGCAGCTAAAATAAGATGGAGCATCTGTCTATCAGCCACATGCAGTTTATCACGACAAAGCCAACGGCGATATTTCTAAAACCCTCTTACCAACATCTGTGTGTGTGTGTGTGTGTGTGTGCACAAGTGTGTTTGCGTTTGTTGTTCGCCATGTGATTTCCTCTGATAGTTGCAGGCTTGCTCTGTCACATTAGGCCTTTGCACACAGTACTGTCCTTGCATAGTTTTACTTTCATACAGCAATCAATACACTCAAACAAGCATACACATATTGTTTATATGCACAGGATTACTAGTCAGTTAATTAACATTGTACAGTTATATGTACAGTTTTTTTAGTTCAGATTTTTAGATCAGATTATTTAGTTTTTATTAAGTTTGTAAGTAATGTGGGTGTAAGAAAGCTCTGAATATGTTGATCATCATAATCTGTATACATGACACTGTGTATTTAAACAAAGGTCAACAAAGTCTGTTGTTTACTCATTTTGTTTATTTCTAAAAATGTGCTGAAAAGTCATGCAGGTAAAGCCTAAACTTTTGAACTAGATTACATTTTGAGAGCATAAATGAGAGTTATCTAAATTAATCTTGGTTTTCCTTCCCCAATATGACTTCATCAGATTACCTATACCATTATTTCATTAATGGTAAGTTGTGTGTGACTTGTCCAAACCTCAGCAAAGGGGATGTTCACACATCAAAGAGGAGTATTTTTAATAGTGTGGCAGTATATTTAGTTAGTTGTTTCAGTGCAAATAGTTGCTTTATATGCACTGAAACAACAAATTAAATATACTGCCACACCATTAAAACTACTCCTCTTTGGCAACTGTTTTGATTATTAATTACTGTCAGGATCGAATATTTAACACAAGAGAAAACATCAGTTGAATTTACCAACCACAACTTCAATGCACGCCTCCGCTTCCCCTGTGTTTGTGCGGGGAGAGAAAGGCTCGTTACCTGTCCGTAAAGCTCCCCTGCAGCAGCCTCAGTGGGCCTATCCAAACACACAGAGAATGAGGGAGGAGGAAGGAGAGAAAGAAACTAGAGGGAAGCGGGCGAGCGAGAGGCACGCTGGCACGCTTGACTGCACCGCCACTGACCTCCCAGCGCTGCCCCAGCAGCACTCTCCCCCCCCCCCCCCCACGTCACCGCCCCTCGCCCTCTGTGCACCTCTCCCCCTCCCCCTCCTGCTCCCCCCTCCCCTTGCCCGTGCCGCTCCACTGGGCTGGCAAGCCCCGCTCGCTCAAGGCGTGGCCGAGGGTGGCAGGAGAGCATGGAGCCGTGTGTGTGTGAGAGTGTGTGGTGCAGAATGTGTGGTGTGGTGTGGTGATTGGGGGGGGGGGGCGACGACGACGCATGCCTGTCCGCCCTACAGTGCTTTCTCACTTTTTTTCTCTTTCTCTCACACGGCCTTGAACAGCCAAGTGTTGCCTAAAGTCTGTACATAAACCACATACACACCACCACCCCACCACCCCACCACCACACCACACACACACACAGCAGTTATCCAGAATCTGATTTATTTTGGTACATTTGCAAGGAGTTTTATTCGATCAGGTGATTGATTTCGTGGCAACATCAAACCAGAATCTTAAAGGAAACATGTACCATTACCTGAGTCAAAATATCTTCCTCTAACTAAAATGTATCTTCAAACTGTAGCATGTAGTGATAATAT